GTTGAGGTATACCTATGATGAAAATTACAAGCCTCTCTCATCTTTTTAAGTGGGAGAACTTACACAATTGATGGCTGACTAAATACTTTTTTGCCCCACTGTATATAAATCCTAGGAATGTGCAGTGCTTCGTATCCAAAACAGAAATGCTACTTCAGAGGTGGATGGATGCCTGTCAGCACCACCTTAAAGAAGCTGCATCTTTTCCTGGGCTCACATGGTAGCTGTGTGATCCCAGGAAAGTACAAGCTTCAGGTAAAGAAGTGCTGACTCTCCGCCCACGCCTGGTTGCATCCTGTTGTTGCTTCCTTATCTCAAGCATGTATTTTCCCAGGACAGCGTGCAAGCCAAGTCTAGGGGGAGAAATGCATCTTCTTGAATGAGGCGCCAGCATGTGCAGTGTGCACGCCCACCCTACTTCCAAAACACCTTTTCTGCTTCAGATCACAAGCATTGACCATCCCTAATAAACCCTGATTAACCTAAAACTACTGGGTAGAGTAAGGATCAGAGTTCTTATCTAAATGTGAATGTCACGTAAGAAATAATAGCTACATCTTTTAAAGTCCTGCAACTTTCTCTTGCAGATTCATCTGCAGGACAACTTAGGAAAGCTCTCCCATATTTTGGAAATAGATCATTTTGCTCTGGTGGTACATGAACAGATTCAATGTGAGTATAAGGTTATCTATATGCTGTCCCAAATCAGTTTCTGCCTTTTTAATTAGCATGTTTTAGGACTATACGTTGCTGATTTTCTAGTAACTTATAATGATTTAATATTTTCTATTAAATATATTCAATGAAATCTGTAGCCATGAAATAATGTTATTTCCAGCTTCTCCAGTGCAGCAGGTTAGGCCTTTTAAAATCTTGGGTTGGACTGAAATGAGTAACCTATAAAATGTAACGTGTATATTAATAATGGTACAACCAAAACTTTAGATGAAGGGTTTTTCTTAGTCTAAGCACTGGTGTTGATTCTGGTCCTGCTGTCACTACAGTGCTAGGCCAGCCTGTAATTTATTTTTAAAGAAAATGGATTGTGTACTGGTTTCGATCTCCACCTTCCATAATAGTTATCGTAATTTCTATATTTCTCCGTTGTATGTATGTATCCAAAAAATCATCCAAAACCTCTAAGCAACCAATTCAAATCCTGGCATGAATCTAGATTTCTTTCAACTGCTCCCCATGATTAATACATAGCATCAGAAGTTAATGGGTGAGCAACTCAAGACAAGGAAGATTAGGATATCTGACTGATGTATAAAGAAACAATAGCATTATAAGTATTCTGTTCCTTTCTTCAAGGTAACCCATATAGTTACTAGGTGACTTTGTCTTCAAGGTCATTGTTAATGTATAACTATCCATTCAATACAGTTTTCTTGAAGGCTTATAACTGCACTTTAGATTTGATTGATGTCTTTCAAATATAATAGTTATGCTGGGACATCACAAACAATTCCTTTGCTATTTATAGTTCCCTGAAATTTCATAGAAATTTTGCAGCAAAAATAACAGAATGTGGTGTCTTAAGATTAACCAATTTATTATCACTTAAATTTGATTGTGAAAGCTTATATGATAATAAACTGATTAGCCCTTAAGATCTCAGAAAACTCTTTATCATGGCAGCTTTCTGCTACTGTTGATTCCTAATTTGTTGATTAGTTTTACTTTACTTTTTTATTTTGACTTATTAAAATGCTTTCCAGGCAGTTGTCACTCAAGGTCCAGAAATTCTCCATCTATTTGATACACATTTATTTACTAGCCTTTTGGCAGAACTGGGCAGAAAGCCTACCTTTAAAATAAATGTTACCTTTGTATCTTCATGTGGGGGGTGGGGGAAAACCATTGTCTTTGTTCATTTAGCCTCCTCTTCCTAAAAGTTTTCATCATCCAGTGGAAGGACAGAAGAACTCCTCCCATCAGATAAAAGAAACCTTTTGAATCCAACTATGGAATTTTAAAACTTTCTAATTTGAAGGCTGCTTCAAATTTTCAGTCAGAAGGTGCAACTTTGGTAGCAGGGCTGCACTTAATGTTTATTTTTTGAGGGGGGAGGGATGAAGTCTACAATAAATGAAGTAATGTGAAAATTGGGCGTCCTTCCACGCATGTGATTAGGGCAAGGCTTTTCTGCATTCCTTCCCCAGTGTTGTGTTGTTTGTTTTAAGGCTTGTCTTTTGCTGCTGTTGTTGTTTTTAAGTCTGCTCTAAGCTTATACTAAAATATTTCTGGGTGTCCCTCCTCAGAATAACAGGAAACCAGAACTGGGGTGTGGGGGTTGTTGGAAGGGACTGCAGAAAATCAGAGGTCACATATAGTCTTGAGTCATAAATTGTGGAGCCTGATTTTACAGTGACAAACAAGTTTCAAATTTAAAATTTGTGGAATAAACCAGTGTTTCTCAACCTCAGCAACTTTAATATGTATGTACTTCAACTCCCAGAATTCCCCAGCCAGCATGCTGGGGAATTCTGGGAGTTGAAG